AAAAAATGTGTTTTTAGAAAATACTTTTCTCTTTACAGTTGATAAATGTGGTGCTGAATTTGACAGAAACAAACTTTAACATGTCCCTCCCACTTCTGTTCTTTTCTGTACTTTTCTGTACTTTGGATGTAACTGAAGTACTGTGATGTGGTATCCTCAAAAGTACTACAGTAATATCAATCAATCAATGAATCAATTAAACTTTATTTGTATAGCACTTTTCATACATTTGAAATGTACTTGCATGCTTCACATGCAACAGAAAAATTACAATACAATAATTAAAAGCAGCAGCAGTGTTTCATCCATATGTACAACAAATTAAACAGAAACATAAAACAGAAAAATAAAGCTCATAAGGGTTAGAGTAAGAGTAAAAATGGAGAGCTAAAATCAGATGGAGACTAAGTAAAATAATAATGATAATTCAATTTAAAACAAATATAATAATAACAACCATAATAATAAGTTAAAACAAGTAAAAGTTTCAATTAAACTCTAAATTTAAAAGATACATTTTGAGTTTACTTTTAAAAATATGAACACTCGCAGCGGACCTCAGATCCTCAGGTCGACTGTTCCACAGACGGGGGCCATAAAAGCTAAACGAAACCTCACCTATATATACCTATATATATATATATAATATATATATATATATATATATATATATATATATATATATATATTATATATATATATATATATACCTATATATATATATATATATATAGTATATATATATATATATATAACACAACACAACAACACACACACACATATATATATATATATATATATATATATATATATATATATATATATATATATATATATATATATATATATATATATATATATATATATACAGTACAATACAGTAACAGACAGTACTTTACAGTAATATACAATACAGTAATATTTAGTACAATACAGTAAAAAAGAGGGAATTACAACAAACACGATATTTCCATTTCATGACAAAATAACTTCATTTAAGCAGAGACTTGTAAATCGATATATTGTGATGGAACTTTAACGATACGATATCACAGTATTTCTGTTATTGTTACATCCCTAGTATCTAGTGGAGTTTGGATTGTTTCCCAGACCTGCCCTGTGCCTCTTTACTGCGCAGAGCTGGAGCTGCTCCGGCTCTAATGGAAGCCGCTGTGGCATTATGTTGTGTGTGACCCGAGGCTCCGCTGTTTACGTCTAATAATGTGAGCGTAGTTTGACCTGAGTGGGCCACCGTAGATGGCCGCGGGCAGGATTACATAAGACCTTTTCTAAGAATACAGCACAAACACACAAAGTGAATCGGAGCGGAGCGGTTAGAGAACAGGCTGTTTCAAATGGACCTGAAGGACTTTAGAGCAGCTCTGGTCGGAACAGACTGGACTGGGCTTTAGAAAGTATTGATGTTAGTGGAGATAGTTGTTTTTTTTCTCTTTCTCTCATAATATAACTCTGTTCCTTCATCAAAAACTCACATGAAGAGGTTTTAGATGTCGTCCAAGCGTGTTTGTGTAATCTAGAGATCTCTCCTGGGCCCCATTCAAACCCTCCTTACTGTAAAATAAACTCTAAGATTCTGTACGAGGCTCCGCCCACAAGCCTGCATGACAAACAAATTCACGCTTGCGTCACAAACCAGGAAGACGTTTGGAAACATGCGATGAAGACGTCCGGATTCTGTTCACTGTCGTAAGTCTAACAAATCTAGGATATTTGAGAAAATGTTCCAGTTTTTGTCGTCTCCGTGTCATTGTTGTGTTTTCCGTTATGTTCTGCAAATCAATAATTCCAACCATACCTCAATTTTTATCACTCAGTTTTCATAATTTCTCTGCTCATAAACAAGAAGAGATGAGGGGGACAAATTCCAGATGATTCCAAACAGCACATACGTCGATCACATTTACTTCAGTGGGTTTGATCACAGTCGAGTTCAGTGTCGGGAAATACTCGTGTTGTAGTACTCTCAGTCTCAAGACCAGCCTCAATACTGCTTTTATACAGTCTTAGTCTTGTCTCGGACTCAAGCGCATTTGAAATTGGTCTTGTCTCTGTCTCGAAAACACTTGGTCTCGGTCTTGTCTTGGTCTTGTCTCCGTCTTGAAGAGGCTTGGTCTCAATCTTGTCTCAATCTCACCTTGGTCTTGTCTCGGTTGTGTCTCTGTGTCGTCTCGTTCTCATCTTGATCTCGTCTCAGTCTCGTCTCTGTCTCAGTCTTGTCTTGGTCTTGAAGACACTTGGTCTTGATCTTGTCTCAGTCCTCTCTCAGTCTTGTCCCGGCCTTGTCTCGGTCTTGTTATGTGTCTCGGTCTTGTCTCAGTCTTGTCTCTGTCTCGAAGACGCTTGTCTCAATCTTATCTCGTCTTGTCTCGATCTTGTCTCATCTGTCTCTGTCTTGTCTCGGTCTTGTCTTTGTCTCGAAGACGCTTGGTCTTGATCTTGTCTCGATCTTGTCTTCTTGTCTCTCTGTCTCTCTGTCTTG